GGTTTTTGGGTTTAGGGTTTCGGGCTTAGGGTTTAGGATTTAGGGTTTGGGTTTAGGGTTCAAGGATTATATGGATGCATAGTGACATAATGTATAGGTAGACTGTTTTCCTGCTAGCGGTAGTTTAGCTAACTATCCTGAACGGCGACCCATTTTGGAAAGCATGCGGGCGGGCGGCACGGACACGTCGCTGCCCTTCTCCCAGCAAAGCCCTTTCCGCTTCGTCACAGAAGCAGCAGAGTCCTCTGCTTGGAGGTCTGTTATGGCACGCGGTTTAGGTTTTAGGGTTTAGGGCTTAGGGTTTGGGGGTTTGGGCCCTAAACCCTAAACACTAAACCTTGAACCTAGCCTCAAAATAACTCTGAATCAGGGGGAACCTACCGTGGATGTAGTATAGAGGGGATGGTAGGGGAAACGATGATGTGGCCATCCTAAGAAAGGGAGGAGGCCCCGCACCCCTTAAACTTGAACAACTGGCCTTTGGTTAGCTGGGAATGAAGAAATGGAAAAGAAAATGGAAACTACCACAATGGGTTTAGGATTTAGGGTTTAGGGCTTAGGGCTTGGGGTGGGAACGAAGGAGTGGAAAAGAAAATGGAAACTGCTATAATGGGTTATATATGGACTACTGCCTTCATTCCTAGCTAACCAAAGGCCAGACAAGGAATACAGACTAAATCATATTCCCAATATCGCTTAGGGTAGACTTGTTAACTAAGGAGTATTTTTGCTCCCTGGGCTCTTTATACCCTCAATCCCTAAACCCTGAACCCGAACTATATGGAAGTGTCCATTTACCATTTACTTATGGATTAGGTAGTTTCCGTGCATTTGGGAATCCCAACATAAACCCTAAAATGCTATATTGGAAATTCCCATTTCCTTGATCAGAAGCCCAATGTGCCAGAAACCCATGGACCATGCATGTGGGGTCCTCGTCAACGTCTAGAAGCTTGCGAAGCTGAGTCCTTGCTGCACACAGTTTAGGGTTGAGACATTCCTTCTTAGAGTAACAGTTACAACTAGTAACACTTGCAGTCATAATAGCCACTTCATAAAACCCCTTTAAGGACAGTTACTGCCAGGGGTGACCCAGAGCTACGGACCGTAGATCCTGGACCCTTGGGTTTTGGGTCTGAGGCTTACAGCGGTTGAGGTTTAGGGTTTAGGATTTAGGGATGAACATCTGCCAAAACCTTTGAGAAGGACACTGACCGTGATCAGGGGGGGAGGCACACTGCACACATATGTGGCAGTTTAGCAAATGAATGCATATATACCCCCAATAACCTAAACCCTGAACCCTGAACCCTTAACCTAAACCCTAAACCCTAAACAAGGACCCCATCTCTAGGGTCCAAAACGGCCAATTTTTGGCGACTCTTTAGGGTTTAGTGTTTAGGGTTTGTTTCTTTTGGCTGGGTTTAGGGTTTGGGGTTAAGGGCTTAGACCTTGCATGCACACAGGATACTTTTCTCGCCAGCGTTGAACCCTGAACCCAAATAAGACTTCGGGTTTGACGAGGTGAGTTTTTGTATTTGTCACCACTGACGGCTGATCAAAACTTTGTGCATGTACGGGCCTGGACATTTACCGATGGGTTTTGATGTATGCGATAGTATACTTATGCTTGGGTCATGGAGGCATAAGATAGTAGCTGTTCAGGTTCTACGTTAATCTTGGGTTCTAGCTGACTGCTCATGGACGCCTGTAATCATGAAAGGAATTCTGAAAATTGCCGCTCCCGTTTCCAAGGCCCCTTTGCAAGCAAAGTAGTTGTTCGAGCATATATGAGGGAACACAAGTGCGGAGAAATGCCCAAGCAACATAATAAGCAACGGCCAAATACCATAAATGTCCCAATGTCCCCTGCAATGAGGCGCATCAAACTACTGTAGAGTTTGTAGTTCGAGGGTTCAGGGATGTAGCCTCGCCGAACACCGAGCCCAAACAAAGATATAACCCCAACATATGTTCCTTTGACAGGCAACTAGTCTTTGCAGGGCCTTGTCGGTGTGAGTGCCGAAGGTCTCCCACACAACACGACCAGTCAATAGGTAGGACCGTATGAACACGTTCGTTTGCATGACAAGGACGTGAGAAGGAGGATTGGCGGTAGCGTGAGCACAATAGTCCTTTGAAACTCGCTCACTTGTTTGAACCCCAGGACGCAAATCCATCAAATCCACATACAGCTCCCCCGTAATAACCCCTAATTATAGCAGTCACCTACATAATCCCCTATATAACCCCTTTAATGAACCAAATTATGGCTCATGTAGAGTTCGGGCCCATCCACACGTATCCCTAACCTTGGGTTCGGAGATTCTAGACCCCAAACCTCAAAAGCCACGAAAGTTCAGGCCTCAACCCAAAAGCCAGAAAACTCACAAACCCTGAACCGAAAAACCTCAAAACCCCTAAGCCTCCAAAAAACTTAAACTCTAAACCAAGACCCTCAACTCTAAACTCCTGGGCCATGCCACAGATCCAAGATCTTCGCCAAAGAGGTGCCGTTCCTGAGCCATTCTCAGAACTCTTGGAAACTCATAGTTTGCTGTTCAGGGCTAATGGGTTTAGGGCCTAGACTTTACCCAAACCCTAAACCCTATACCCTAAACCTTAAACCTTATTAGGGTTTATGGGTCTAGGGTTTAGGGCTTAATCTTCAGATTTAGGATTCATGGGTTTAGTCTAAGAACTTTCTGGCATACCCTTTCCGCATATC